ACCACGTGAACCCGGCACGCGCGCGCACGGGGGGCCGCGTGATCCTGCGATGCAAGTTCGCCCAGAAGGCTCAGAACTACCCGAGACCGATGGCGAGGAAGATGGCCCACCTGATCGCCCACCAGGCCATGGCCGACGATATCGGCGACATCAACGCGGCCGAGCGGTCCACATGGAAATCGGCGCCATCGAGTACACCGACGTGATACAGGAGCTGATGAAGCGGTTCAACGCGTCGGCGATCCGAGCGGTCAAGCGCGCGCGCCAGCCTGGGCCGCCCTTCGAATGCAGCGCTGACGGTTGCTGCGCAGCACGCGGGCGCCCAGGAGGAGTTGACCCAGTGCGCCGGGCCCTCCCGGCGCGAGACCTGCCAAGGCAGGCAGAGGCCCCGAGCGGTTCGCGTCGCAGCGATGCCGAGGGCCAAGAGGTTCAACGAGGTGGTCTGCACCGACGTGCACAACATCACGTGGAAGAAGACGGAGAGGAATACCCTGGCCATCATGGACGAGTTGACACGCTACGAGGTCGACTACCCGATCGAAGGAGACGTTCCTGAACGAGACAAAGCTATGGAAGAAGCTCTGGATCAGTTGGGCCGGCAAGCCCGAGACGATGCGAACGGGCGCGGCGAGCTCGCGCGCGGCCAAGCGCATGCGCGACTGGACGAGCACGCATAACGTCGAGCTCGACCAGATCCTGAAAAGCGCGCGTCACATGTTAGGCCTGATGGAGCGGAACCGCGCGGCCAGGAGGGAACAGCCGGCCAGCGGAACACCCTGGGGAGCGCGCGCAGGTTCCCGACGGCGGCGCTGGCCTTGGGGGCGCAGCCGAAGATCCCAGGCACCCTCTGCGACGAAGACTTCGACCTGTTCGAGCAGGCCTCGCTGGTCGACCCCAAGAGCGAGGCGCGCGAGATGGCGATCAGGAGTGCGGCCGCCGCCACAGCCTTCATCGAGGCCAGCTGCTCGCGCGCCGCGCGGGCGGCGCTGCCGGCGCGCAGCTGGCCGATTAGGGGGAACTGCGAGATCGGCGAGTGCGGGTCTACCTCTGGCGACCCAAGCAGACGCGAGGGCCGGCGAAGCACCGCTGGCACGGCCCAGCTCCGGCGACGGCAGCAGACGAAGGTCGCAGAGGACAATGCGACGCGCGCCTCAGTGGCGCGGGCGCCGCACGGATGCACGACGCACCGATGCACCGCGAATAGCTTCGCCCCGAGCTGCGCGAGTCCCGCGAACGCGACTGGCGCAGCAAGGGCCCCGACAGCCCGCTCGGCGCGATCGAGAAGCTCGGGGGCGCGCTCAGGCGGACGAGGGGGGCCTGCAACTACCGGGACCTCGCCGAGGAGGGGCGCTTGCCCCAGCGCGACGGAACCCTGGGCGACATGGGCGGCATCAGCCCCTGCTTCCAGGCATCCACGGAGACGGGCGAGACCGACGGACCGACAGGAGCAGCTGCCGCGGCGGCCCCTGGAGATCCTCAGCCGGCGACGCCTGGCGAGGACGACGGCGACGGACCAGGCGCGGCCAGCGCAGGCGCGTCTGGCAGCGCTGCGAGGAGCCTAGCTGGTTCCACGTTGAGGCAAATGCTAGGAGGACTGTCGTGGCTTTCAATCGCAATGACGGCTGGGGGCCCTTCAACGAAGCGGACGTGGACCCCGCAGCCCGCTGCCCCCTACGCCCCCTACTCAAGTGGAAGATGAAGGACTGGCAAAAGGTGGCCAACGGGCGCGCACTCTACAGAGGGTTCAAGCACCGCGACGTCGCCGAGGGCCAGCTCGACATGGAGTCGCCGACCCTCAGCTGGCTCGGCCGACGCACGGCAATGCCCCGGGCGTCTCTGAGGAAATGGAGGGAATTCATCGCGGGTGCGAAGTCCGCGCCCCTGCAGGCCGAGGGCGCGAGCGCGCGCGGCCCCAGGCCGCGCGCGAGCCCGACGAAGGAGATGAGCGAGATGCTCTCTTACCATATCGGCCTGCAGCCCGAACAGCTGTTTAAGATGGCCAATTGGCGACCCGCGGCCGCCCAAGCTCAGGCGCCACCGCTCCGACGAAGTCACGAAGGATATCGGGCTCCAGAAGCGCGAGCTCGAGGATTGCCTGCCGTCGCCCCCGCGCCCGGCGAAGGTCGAGGACGACCCGATCGACGCGCGCAGCTTCGAGGGCCAGGCCCACGCGGTGGACGGCCCGATCGGCAAACACGTGAACGATTTCATCGGCTGCAGCGAAGGCGCGACGAACGAACGGGACCGCTACGCGAAGCTTGACGACACCGAGCGCTTGCAGGCACGGCCAAGGGCGCTCGGCGAGAAGTTCAAGTTCGGCAAGTGAGAGTTCGGGCCGAGTCTGATCTTCGCTGGAAGCGAAGCGGAGCAGTCCCTGAGCACCTACAGCGTGACCCTCAAGTTCGAGAAGTACTTGCACGCGGTGAACCCCTTCACCGTCGAGAAGCACCGGAGAGCTGACCCCCCGAGCGCGCCGTCGCCGAAGGAGCTCACGAACTTCGGGGCCCTGAATAGAAAATTGCACTGGCCGGCAGCCGAATACATGATCATGGCAGCGGCTACCGCGCCATCACGAGCTTCGGCGACAGGTCGAGCCACCGTGCAGGACATACTGGATGCGAGCAAGGATCTGCGCTTTCTGAAAGCCAACGCGGACGCGGGGCTGCACTTCGGTTTCGACAGCGCCTTGACCAACCTGCGAGTTGGCAGCTACGCCGACGCGAGCTGGGCGAGCCGACGCGACGGCAGTTCGCAAGGAGGCGACGCGATCTTCACCGGACCCGCGGACGAGCTCAACGCCAGCACCCCGCTGCCTGTCGTAGCAATGTAGTGGACCTCGAAGAAGTTGCAGCGTCTGTGCAGGAGCTCGCTGTCGGCGGAAGCCAAAGCAGCAGCTTTGGGGCGGACTCACTGATGTGGGTGAAGGTCTACCTGGCGTGGAGCTTGCGACCAGACCTGGAGCTTGAAGAAACGATAGTATACCTGGGAGAATCGCCGTTCATCACGGAAACGAAGTGCCTCTTACGATGCGTCGCGCTCAGCGACGGCAGGCCTGGGCATCTCGGAGAAGAGGACGGCCATCGAAATGAAGATCGTGAACGAGCAGATGACGGGGATAGGCGCCACCTGGATGTGAGTGAACACGCAGCAGCACATGGCGGACGGGTTTACCAAGCTCTCGACCCGCCAGATGAAGGCAGACGTGCTCCGCCGAGGAGTGCACGCGTTGCGGCACTAGCCTGGCTTCGCGGCTGGCTAGAAGCTTTCCAAAGGGGCGATGGAGGTGGACGACGCTGGGGAGGCACTGCACGATACACTCGACACGACACCTGTGACAAAGGCAAAGTCGAAAGCGAAGGCCAAGGGCAAGCGCAATGTTGGCGCAAGTGGAGCGAAGCTGGCTGCGGCACTGACAGCTAGCGAAGGCGGTTGCGCGGAAGGACAAATGATACAGTACACGCCCAGCGGCGTCCAGCTGTTCAACCCACCGACGCCTGCCGACTGGAACGACTTGATCATGAAGATGATGATGCTCGGTTTCGTGATGTGACTTGCTGTGGCGTTCTACTGCGGGTTTCGTGCTGGACTGTGGTGGACACACTGGACCAAGCAGCTCGAGCATGACACAAAGATCGAGAAAATGCTCGAGCCCGAGGCAGAGCCAGGGCCCGTCAAGGTCAAGACCACTGGCACCGACCCGAAGCCGACGAAGCAGAACCACATACGCAGCGTGCACGTCCAGTCGCAGTGTCGCTACAATCTAGACCTTAACACGCCGAGGTTTCAGCGGCTGCCCGAATACGCTCATGGAGCTTTCGTGACCGGATGAAGGGGTACCCCGAGGCCGCTTCGGCAGGAAACCAGTTTGGCATGATGGTCGGCATGGCCGACAGGAGAATGACGGCCGACAAGGCCGACGCGAGCAAGTTGGTCGGCGGAGGCCGACTCGTGACTGAGTGCTCCGAGGAACACACCTTGTGCCTGTTTCTGCCCGGCGAGATCGACCGATCAGTGGGTGTGCTGACAAAAAAAAAGATATTGATGTCGCTGTCGCGACCGCTGGTGAGTTCCACATTCGAGTCAGACTGGCTTGTGTAGGGGACCCGCGGTGTTTGTGACGTTTTATCTATTTTGGTTTCGGTCCTATTCCCGTTTTGAGTTTCGAGATTTCGCTTCTTGGTAAAACTCCGGGGAGCCTTGATATGGGCATTGCGCGAGTCTGAATGAATATGTGCTAACTCCTTCTTCCGCTCGTGACAATATAACCCCAGTTATATGGAGGTGTGGATATGCATTCTGAATATTGGCACAGCTCAGCAGTTTCAGCGAGCATGATGTGTTGCAAGCAGTTGTTTCACATGTGTCTGCACCATTGCCAAATGATGTTCAGGGGCCCCTGAGTCAGGTAAAAGGTTGCGTACCTTACGAGTTGATACGATTATCAAGAAAAGCTGTTCTCTCGAACACATCCCGAGAAGACTTCGTGTGCTGCCATCAGTTGATACGTAAAGCCATCGCACCCAACACGGCCCCAAGATCCCGACGGGCCCCCAGAAGGCCTCCAAGAAGACCCCAAGAGGCCCCCAAAGCCCCCACGAGGGCCCAAAGAAACCTCCAAAAAGCTTCCAAGATGCCTAGGAGTTGCCTTCAAGAGTTGGAATGGGGGGAAGAAGAGGGAGAGGAGAAGGAAAGAAGGAGAAAGGAGAAGGTGGAGAAGGAAACGGAGGATGAGGACAAGGAGAGGGAGCCGAAGACTCGCACCAGCTCGGAGAGGGCGCTGAACGCGAGTGGGTCTCAAACTCAACATCTTCTCTGTTGCGCTGCTGCGCTAGCACGGTGGCGGGATTTGCCGTAGGCAGCTCAACAGAAGAAGAGGAAGCGGACAAAGACGACGAGGCGCCACGAGCATCCCCGGGACCAGCGCTACGACGCTACGACGACGATACCAGCGGGCCGCGGCCAATCAGGCCCGTGTGGCCATCGCGGGCGGCCCCGGCGTCCTCCTCGGCGGGGCTCAACTCTCCGTACCTGATTCTGAGGATATCCCGGCTCACCGCCTCAAGCTGGCGGAGCCCAAAGGCCAAAGCCAGAGGCAGGAGGACAACGACGATAACTGCGGCGACGATGGCGGCGAAGGAGGCTGAGGTAAACAACACATCATCGTTGCAAATCTGCCCGCTCACGCAAAACATGAGGCTAAGACTGGCAACCTATGCGTCACCCGTGCATGGTAAGAGGCGCCCTGCCATCCTTGCATGTTAGTGTTTCCTCACTGTGTGAGTGGGGACTCACTTGGAGGAGCGTTCTAAACGGCTGACCTCGATCGAAAAAAAGGCCACGGATGCGCACAAACGCGCTACGTAAAACTAAGCCACCCAGAACATGACAAAAGTGAACGAAGATTCACGCATGGCCCGTTTCAACCTGAGAATCTGCACCAAACAAACGCTCAGGCCATTCGGTTGGAGAACCCACTAACCAAGGAGGAAGCCCCCATTCCACAAACTCTCTCCAAGTCGAACGGAGCTGACATGGCAGCGGGCACATCAGAAGCAGAGTCCCGTTCTCATCCGCCGTGCCTCTCTGATCCCAAATGCACATGCAAGGGCATGGACAAGGACGAAGACAACGAGAGCGACGACCACGATGACGAGCAGGGGGTGAATGTGGCGGAGAAGGGCGAGGAGAAGGAGGGCGAAATCAAGGGCGAGGACAAGGAGGAAGAGGCAGTACGAAAACAGGGAGGCGGCGGTGGGGAAGAAAGACGGGTCTACAAGCTAACTTTCGCGCAAGATCTGACACCCTACCCCTCCCACCCATCCCTTCCGATTGCGCTGAATTGTGTTCTATCCGCCTGCTGGGCTGTCCCAGGATGTCCTCGATCCTCAAAGTGCCCCCCATCGCGTGATGCGCATTCAGAAAGGGGGGCCTTGTGCAATGGACAAGAGATGGCGAAGGAGCAAGAAGAAGAAAACAATGATGAGGATGGAGGGGGAGCAGGAGCAGGGGGAGGAGGAGGACCAAGGGAGCACAGAGGAGAGACAAGGAGGAGAACGGCAACGACGAGGAACGAATCGGATCCTAAAGTGAGGCCCGCGCGGGGGCGAGAGCGCAACTATGAACGACGGGAGCACAGCGTCGATCCTGAAATGTAGCCAACACTGCAGCGGGATCAACCTCTTGATGAATCAAACATGGGAGGCATCGATTGTTGAAATCCTGCGTCGGAAAAAGATGCGGGGAGGGGAGCGCCCCCGCCCAACACAGTACCAGTGAAAAGAGGAGACTTCTACTCAAGTTGCGCAAAGAAATGCCAAGAGCAAGAGCGAGGGCGAGGGCTAGGAGAATGAGGCGGGCAAATACAAGGGGAATGAGGTCAACAGCAAGGGCGAGGGCGAGGGCGAGGCAGACGAGTGCGAGAACGGGGGAGATGAAGATCAGAGGGGAAGAGCGAAGAGAAGGAAGGCGAGAAAACAGGCAACCGAGCCAAAGGAGGAGCAGCAGCAGCAGAAGCAGGACGGGGACGTCGAGTTTTTCCAGCGCAATTTTGGAGGGAGAAGAAGGAGCGAAACGGCCAGCACCACGACATAGCTCCTCCGCAAAGCGACCGTGACTGCACTGCTACAAGAACATAGATTGAGATGGTCGCCAGGCAACCACCGCGTCCGTGGAACCACGAAGAAACCCGAACAGCGAAACCATAGGAGGAACAGGAAAAGTGGATAGGAAAAAGGGGAACGCCGAAGGGCCAGGAAGAAGGACAGCTTCGCAGTGTAGGGAACTCGGCCTAGGGCAGGACGTGTAGAATTCGCCAGAATGTAAACTCCAAAAAGGAGGATGAGGAGGAGGAGGAGGAGGAGGAGGAGGAGGAGAAGGAGCAGGTGGAGGAGGAGGACGAGGGAGAGGATAAAGAGGGAAGAACACACAGGCTGGCATGTATTAGGCCGCGTACCAGACTTACCCTATCTGGCACAGGAGGGGCAGCCGCAGTGGACAGGGGGACGAGGAAGGGGAGCGGAAAGGCAAAGCGCCCGCTTCGGCCAAGAAGGACGCAGCCTGCTGAAGACAGTCTGGGTGAAAAGATAGCCCTGGCAGGATCGCAAGCGGCCGACAAAAGAGAACACTGCGGGTTCGTTGGCGAATCCCTGGTCAGGGAGCGGTCGGCGAAACCCGGGGCACTCCACCAACCATCTCCGAGTGCTCCGGCGCGAACACCAACCATTTCATGGAAGGGGCACTCCGCGCCACGCATGTGGAGGAGAGCCGAGGGGGAAAGAAGGAAGGGAGCGGAGGAGGGGAGAACGAAAAACTACGCGTGTAGCAACTAGACCTCGGGCAAGATCGGACAAGAATTGGAGCCGCATGGTTCGGGGGTGGATGAAGACGAGACAGGCAAAGGAGAGAACGGGGGGAAACAGACGAGGGGGAAGGATGCACCAGGTGCGCGGTACAACTGTGAGCCCCTTTCCGATCCATACAGGCCCAAATTGTGATGCTATCGGCCACGCGGCTGGGACATCAAACGGTCCCCGGGATACCCCGAATCGACGGACTGGCATCCCCTAAACTAGCCGCCCGAGAGGAGACAAGGCGAAGGAGGGAGGAAGACAGGGAACAGGAAAGAGGGCCCGATCGCCCGCGCCTGGCGCATGCCATCATGCCGCGCGCGGGCGCGGTTACCGCCTCGCTGCGGGCCCGAGATCACACTTGATTGTGAAACAAAATTTTGCCAGCTCGCTCCTGCCGCGTACGCGGGCCCCAAAACGCAAACACCTGAAATAGCCCTGCACTCGGGAGCTCGCGAAGCAGCCGCGCATGTAGCAGGGTTGCCCTGCGAACGCGGCCGGAACTATGGCCGCAAATTCGCGCAGGATGGGGGAACAGGAGGGGGAGGAGAAGGAGGGAGGAGGGGTGGAGGGACGGGGGCGACAAAGAACACCTCGGGAGACCGCCGCACTGCTGCAATGATGCGTCGCCAAGCCAGCCCGGTTCAAAATTGCACGGAGCTTAAACGAGGAAGGAAGGGAGCAGGCGAAGGACGGAGGACAGAGAAAATGCAGCCCTTCTGTATGCCCTGGAAGCTGGCGGGGCCACGCACTACCACGACCCCCCCGCGCCAACGCAGCTGCGCAAGAAAAAACAAATCCGCCGACCCCTTGGGGACACGGCGTGTAAAATGCTTCCCCCTCCCCAAACCCATCCCTCGGGAGCCCGGCCCGGCCGGTTGGGAGGGAAGGGGGGGCGGGGGGCAAAGGTGTCAGCCGCACCCTTGGAGCCTCAGGGAGCCCAAAACGGGCCAACAGGGCCCCAAAAGGCTCCCCGGACGGTCCAAGAGGGCTACGAGACGCCGAAAGATCGCTCCAAGACGCCCAAAATCGCCCCCTGACGGTCCCAGAGGCCCCCACGACGCCCCAAGAACCACCAAGAAGCGTCCCAAGAGGCCCTCCAAAAACAAAAATCGCCCCCTGCCCTTGGAAGAACGTATATTTTTAGCACATTCGCCTCTTGGGTTTTCTCGAGACCCACGACGGCCCAAGAAGCCTTTAACATCGACCCAAGATAGCCCAGGAGGCCCCCAAAAGGGCTCCAAGACGGCCCACGAGGGCCCCAAGACGGCCCCTGAAGCTTCCAAAACGACCGAAGAGGGCCCCAGGACGGCCCCAAGAGGAGGCCCAGAGGGGGAACCCGAATGAACATTTCAAGCACTCGGCCCCGATTATCCCGGCAAAGCAACCTAACAGCGATGTGTAGGAGCATATCTGGAAGCATTCCCCTTAAGATTCAAATGAGAATCCAGTTGTAGAGTTCTGCTGTTCTCGCAGTCGTAGTCGCATTCGCGATGACAGTCGCAGTGGCAACGGCAGTCGCAGTCACAGCCTCAGCCTCAGCCTGCCTCAGCCTCAGCCTCAGCCTGCCTCAGCCTCAGCCTGCCTCAGCCTCAGCCTCAGCCTGCTTCAGCCTCAGCATCAGTCTGCCTTCAGCTTCGGCCTCAGCCTCAGACTGCCTCAACCTCAGCCTGCATCAGCCTCAGCCTCAGCCTCAGCCTGCCTCAGCATCAGCCTGCCTCAGCTTCAGCCTCAGCCTCAGCCTGCCTCTGCCTCAGCCTCAGCCTGCTTCAGCCTCAGCCTCAGTCTGCCGTCAGCCTCGGCCTCAGCCTCAGCCTGCCTCAGCCTCAGCCTGCATCAGCCTCAGCCTCAGCACGAAGCAACCCAGCTAGAAGGACAAAGCGCTGAATGTACACCGATGTGTTCGACGACTGCGTATGTAATGATGTGACGATATACAGACTGAGCCCTTCGTGAATGTCTACATGTTTTTCTGACGCCTACAAACGGCGCTGACGTGTGTGTGAAAAGTGTCCGCGCAGCAAAAGCCGGCGAAGCGTGCAGACAGCCAGCTGCAAAAGGTTGCGAGCGGCTCTTGGAAGACGTTTACGGAACGGAGCTACGGTGTCTGAAAACAATGGCATCGAAGCGAAGAGCCTCGGAGCCCTGCAGCCTGAGAAACACCGCAGGAACTCGCATACTGAAAAGGAATGCATTGCAAACCGCACGTTGCGAACCCTGCAGGCTGAGAAGCACCGCAGGATGTCGCATGCTGAAAAGCACTTGTACTGCAGAGCGCAGGCTGCGAAACCTGCAGGCTGAGAAGCACCGCAGGAACTCGCATGCTTTCGAACACTACTGCTCGAGACCGCAGCTGGAGAGCGGCAGACCGCAGGCTGAGAAGCACCGCGGGCAGAGAGACTTGCAAAACTCAGATGTCCTGATCGTCTTGGAGGAAGTCACGCCAGTCCGGCGGCTGCCAAGAATCGATGATGCGCCTGGAGCCACCGCCCGTGCTGCCGCCGATGTCCAGGTAGTCGCCATCGCCCCTGAACAGACGGCCGTGCCCGCACGCCAGAATCGCTTGGTTGCGGATTTGAAGCAGCGCTCCGCTCTCAAACATCTGCAACACGTCCTGCTGCCTGCGCGTGAAGTTCGGCTTTGCCTGGCCAGCCTGGGCAGACAGATATAGGGAAAGCCGCTCCCCCTCGTTGTAGCGCGCGATGGCCTCG